TCCCGGGCTGCTGCGCCGCCTCTGTTTGCCGGCTCTGTTCGCCCGCGCTCCTGGTCGCTCGCGCTCAAAGACACTCAACTCTATCATTTATTCCTCAAGGTACGTCCTCCACTGATCTGTTCATAAAAAACAATGGACTGCTTCAATGCTACTTCTTAAGCTAGAAAAGCTCTTCCTCTCCCAGTTTTTCCAGAGTGCTACCATACACCCAGACAGCCTAACAAAAGTAATAATCAGTTATACTCAATACCCTCCAGAGGTGATGAAGCGTGGTCTCTGGAGCTCGATACTCTGTACCAGCAGCCGGGGTTCAAAAGTGCGGATCTCCACATACCTGGGCAGAACAGCAATGATGTACGGAGGCTGGTGTTCTATCAATGAAACAAGTGAAAAATATAGGTTGATTGTTCTCAAATATGCCTTGAAACAAGCCATGACTTAAGTCAGGCTTCAGTCTTTTTTCCTTTCAAAATGTGTCTCTCTTTTGCTTATTAAAAACAATGCCCAACACTGATAGCAATTTTTAATAGAATACTACCAAGCTTTTTCTTCATCTTTCAACATACACAGAACTTCTGTGGCACTTGCGTGCCCAGAAGAATTACAGTGCTTCAACGTACTACCTTCTATTTCAAACCTTCTCCCTGCATAGAAGATATGCAATATGCCTATTTTCTGAGGAGTAGACAGCCATACAGACTAGAAGCAAGTGAGGGGAAGAAACAAAAATAAAACATAAAACCTTCCACACCGAGAGTACAGCTTGAAACTGTCATGCTCCAAATCCAGCTAATTTCTTAATACCAGGAACGTAACAATTTTGTCACATACAAAGGAGTAAAGAAGCAAAGTTTTTAAAAAATCACTGCTAATTCTCACCCATGGCGATAGGAATATCTGTCCAATTCAAAGCACATTTCTGAGTACAGATTCCTTCTTCATTGAGCACAACTGTTAGGTCATCTTGGCCAACTGCAACTTTTCCATCTGCTACAGGAGCTACCAATGGTTCCAGTTGCTTCCCTGTGGGAAACAGTTCTTTGATGGATCCTTTTCCATCCACCTAGGATAATAAACAAAACAAAAAAACCTGTTGTTCAAACTAGCCTTTATTTCAAAGCTGCACAAGACCAAAGACAAAAACCCCCTAGAGGGATTCACAATCCAGACTAATCACTAACAGGACAAGTACAAAAGAGTAGCAATAAAATTTTCTGCATATCATCACTTCTCTTGCTTCTACATCATTTGGAAATAAAGAATTAATACTTTTATGCCTCAGAGGACGTACTCCTGTTAGTAGCTGAGCACACAGTTCATACAAGTTTATAAAATGCATAGCACACTAGCAACATCAAGTTAAAGTACACAAACACTTCTTGCTGTAACCAGGGGATTTCCTTTACACTTTAACATTGTTTTGTTCTGATATCAATAAGAATTGCCTTGTTAAAAAAAATGAACTAAAAGCCAAGGAACCTGTCTAGCCTTTTTTCCTGCCCTAGCCACTCCCTCTTGTGGCCACATGCTGTTCAGAGAATCAAACCCATCAAAAAAACCCCAAAAATCCCAAAAAAAAGAAAACCCACGAAGTCCATCAGAGAGGTCTTCCATGACCTGATCTAATAACTCACTGCCACCAAAATGGAGAATCCTTCTTCAACTCCAGCTACATGTTCCTTCTGTTTCCCTTTCATTACAGCTCACGCATTCTTGTAAATCAACAACTAGCCAGCAGAAAACAATACAATAAAAACATGTATATTTTTTCTGCCTATTTACTGAAACGAAGCCATTCAAGGATGGGTCAATGAAGCACCAGAACCAACTCAAAGAGACACTTGGACAGCAAGTCCCCACTCTGGTTGCTCAAGCAGCTGCACAACTACTCGTATCACTAGAACGGCAGGAATTAACATCTAGGTGAGCGCTGCAGAAAGGCATCACTTCTTTTGTGAGCAGTGTCAGTTTGAAGTGACTAAAAATTACTGTGCAGTTACCATGTCAACTACACATCATTGTTGCTAGCCACGTACATACACATTATGTATGCAGCGTACCTCATCTTCACCTCATTTTCCTAATATCAGAAACCATTCGTAAAGGCAGAAAAGAGAATCAAATATAGCTGTCAAATGAAGCCTAAGTGGAAATTGTAAAACTAAATTAACGACAGTAAGTTTAGAGACTTTCAAACTGAAATAATTACAGTTCAGCAAGAGAAATAAAAAAAAGAAAAAATAGTTAACAGCCACTGTCTGCCAAGTCAGAAGATACTTGTGGTCTTTTTTTCCTTTTAGAGCCATCTCCTTTCTTAACACATTAAATAAAATGCAAACTGAGCTCACACAGACTGCTGCCAAACCAAAATATATCCTTACCAATGCCTTTTTTCTGCAAGAGCTTCAAATACTGGTTTCCACAGTGACAAACAGAATATCACTTCCTGACAAAACATTAGTTTTAAAGGACAGACTTAGACTGCCCTTTCCAAAACCACATACACCAAGAATACCAGATGCTGTTTTTCATAAACTTCTGTTAGCTAAATCCTTGAGCACACGAGCAGCCTCCATAGCTTCTACTGCTATGCAAATCTTTCTAAATAGTGTATTCCAAACCTCAGTCTTACACGTATGAGGTAATAGTCCCTCTTGAAGCCTACACAGATGGAGTTTTCACACCAGGCCATAGACTTGGGTACATCAGGTACACTGAAATCCCCCTGAAGAAAACAGGTTAGAACAGCTGTTACAAGAGAAAAGCAGAAGTAAAATCTGGCAACACGTAGTGTAACAGACAGCACTGTTATTGACATGGTATTCCCCACCACACATGCTGGACTTCTGCTGGTCAGGGAATGGCAATATTCACCTAATAGGCTAGATTCGTGCACAGTAAAGAGGTGTGCTCCAAGTCAGCTGGTAACTTCCTAGAAGAGCAGCGTAGCTGAAAAATTCTCTACCCATTTCCATTGGTCATTTTATCATTCTGGTATTCACAACTGCAGTTCTTTGTGCTTGTTGTCTGTAACTACCTTCTGACAATGACATATCTGGAAAACTTTGGGTAGGAGTGGACCCACTTCCATAGTGTTACTGTTAGGTATACATTTATAGAGGCTGCACACTAATACATTTCACTGACTTACAAGTGTACTACAACCATAATGTTAAAATATAGAACACAGATTTGATTTAATTTATGAAACTGTATTAATGTCATTGTTATTTCAACCATGTATTTTCAATTTTATTTGCTGCTTCATTGTTAAGTTACTGCAGAACCAACACGAGTCAATGCTCTGAAAGTCCGCAGTGCCTCTGAGTAATAGGGACTGCATAGCAAGCAGTAAAGCGCAACTATGCTCCCTGTTGAGCCACGCTAGACTACAGAAACAACACAACTCACCTGTAGCTCATGAAACTCTCTGTCTTTCCAAAAATATAGTTGTAGCTTCTTCCGCACTGCCACACACATTCTCAGCACCTCTTCCCCTGTATCTGACTGCTGTGAAAATAGACAGGCCTAACTCATAAGCACTCACAAACTAAGAGGCAAGTAAGATCATACAAGGCCAAAAGAATCCTCAGCCTGAAGCAAAGCTGTCAGCTGAAGAGCAGCTTTGTTCATCCATGCCAGAAGGGCATTCCCTAAATAAGGAAGCACAGAGAGAATGGGGGTGGGACACTTAAAAAATAATTTTAGCAGGGATTTTGACACCAAGGAAATTAAAAAAAAGGAAAAAAAAAAACAACCCACACAACACACCAAAGACATACACACACACACAAACAGAAGATAAGCAGAGAGCTTTCAGCCCAGCCCAGAAGACTAGGATAAACAGCTTGAACTCCATGCAGTATAGGAGATGGCAAGAAACGGAACAATGCAATAAACGTGTTCTGCTGACAGATAAAAACATTAATAGCTATTTAATATTCTAGCCTATTGGAAAAGTTTCCTGACAAGAAATACCAGCAAAGCTAAGTGCTTGTACACACAAACAACAAGGCAGTTTGGAATGACTCGATTTCAAGATGCTTCGAAAGACATCACTAGTTTTAATACCTAGAAAACCGTAAGTGCTTATTAGAAAATATTTAACACTAAGCTCCCATGGGGCAAAGAGATAAAAAGTGATGAAGAACACTAAGCCATCTCTTTAGGTTATGAATAAGGTTTCTCTATGACATGGGTAGGTTGAGAAACTCACTTGGATAGAAAAGAGTCATTTAAACCACAGCACATGAACAGAGGATTGCTATACCTTAATGAACCATTTTATGGCCTGAATCTACCACAACTGTCTGGGACTCCTTGGGCCAATATAGTTTAAGAGAAACAAAAACAGTGACGGAGATGCTTGCTCAAGGGAACCACTACAAGTTAGTACACTGACAATTTAAGCGGAGGGAATGGCTTTTATATTCATAGAATCGTAGAATGGTTTAGGCTGGAATGGACCTTAAATATCATCCAGTTCCAACCCCCCCTGCCTTGGGCAGGGAAAACTTCCACTAGACCATTTTGAAGAGGATCTTTCAAAAAAGACGACAGTCACAGTCACTATGGGATAAAAATGCTTTGAAGTTTTGTATCAGGAGGTTAAAGGCTACAATCACAGCAGGCACAAGAAGATAGCTTAGGAAGCACAGGAAGAAAATTAAGGTGACTACATTAAAAATTGTTGCCTTAAGCAAAGCTTCAACATCCAGTAGGTACTAATTTTAAAAAGCACTAGTACCCAAGCAACCTGCATGTAACAAAATTTAAAAAAACCTAATCTATACAAAAACATAACATTATCTTTACTACAAACAGTAGGGACATCCATGCCGTTGTGTTCCTTCTCCTACCTGAAGATCACAAGTGAAGAGAGATGCACCTTTTGCCTTGGAAACCGTGGTGATTTGTTGAAATGTCAGCAGGTCATGGACATAAATGTTATTTTCTGTTTTAAACAAAATTTTAAAACAAAAATTTTTAAAACAAAGTTTTTTAAACAAAACTAATTGCTGCAAGAAAGGAAAGTTTTCCCAAAAGCTGAAAAGCAAGTGCTAAGGCACATAAAAATACAAGACAACAAATGCACAAAAGACAGCTAACACCAGCGTTGGTAAAATTACATGAAGGAACTGAGAACAGGTGTTAACCAAGCAGAGGAAGTGGGAGTCGAAGGGACAGCAAGCAGGCCAGACCAAAGTTCATAATGGAAGACTGTATGAACAAAGACCATTTTGAACGGGCTCCCGAAAATAGTGGAAAGTGAAGGGTTGCAAATGGAGGGTGCTGTGGTCAAGTTTTCGTACGCACGAGGACGCAGGCAGCAGAAATCTATACATGCTGGAGTCGGGAGAGCTGGGACTTGGAGATAATAAAGAAGGGAGTAGCAACATAAGCAAAAAAAGACATAGAAAGATCATAATGTTAAACAAACATAGCCAGAAACAAGCAAACTTAGATCTTCCACAAGATAGCAAAAGATAGCCATCTGCATATAAACTGAATTTGGTGTAACACATCAACAGCAAGTTTCATACATCAAACAAGTTTGGACACAAGTTTTAGCACCCATCATACGGTGCACACATATGCATGCATGTATGTATGTGTATATAGACATGCGGACACAGACAAACTACCTCTGCACACACTTTAGTGCACGTATGCATGAATACTTTGTTCTCCAAGTTGGCTTACAACAAGCAAAGCTGCTTCTCAATCTATACTGCATAATGCTTCCTCTGTGAAGTGAAAAAGGGTAAATCCTACACAACGACCTTTCAACAACTAGACTACTATGCAGGTGTGTAAAAGAAAGGGTGTCACATTCAGCCTAGTAACTGCATCAAGAAAAGCTAATTAAACATTTAAACATTTTCTTCACTTACCTAATAGACTGACCAGAATTTTAAACTGAGAAACAACATGAATCTGAAAGAAAGAAATCTGTTGGTGACTCCATTCATAAACTAAACCTCTGGACAAGACTTGATTACAGACAATTTAAAAAAATGTATCCCACATACTCGCGAAATAATGAGAACAGAAACGCAGCTATCTATGCACAACCTTCCTCCAGCTATTCCAACCTCTTCCATTTACACTCAGTTTTTACAAGGTAGCACATGGAGCTTGCAACCTAAGATGGTAAAAAATGCTAGAGTAAATGGTATGCCACTAGTACAAAAGTACTTCTAAAGGAGATGCAGAGTGTTGCTGAAAGAGGCTGCCTAATCTCTGAGGTAAGTGCTCTCCTGAGTATCAATATGATCAATGAGCAAAAGGTCTCAAAAAAAAAAAAAAAATCAAAACAGTAAAACTGGCAGTAGATAATCAGTTACTTTAGTTCTAAATTCCAAATAAGAAGAATTAAAGAATTACATTCACATTCCCATGGCATTTTATCCGAGAGTCAAATTATATATCACAGTCTGTTGGTGCATAACCATAATTTTTACAAGTATTGTCAAAGCAGCTGAAGATTTACTGCTAACCACACCATTTCCTTAAAAGCCAAAAATAAACCTGTAAGTTCCAATTCTTTGCTTTCTGCTTTAGCAACCAAACCAAGCTTATTCCTGCTACAGGAAGAGTGGCGAAAAACACCAGGCTGTGCCACCTCTAGAAGAATCCATAGTTTTGGCGAAATTTTTATTAAGCTTAGCAGAGATTCCAGAAATACATTTGATATTTAATTTCATGGCTGGAAACACTGGAAAACTGTCCCCACATCAAAAAGATGGTATTTCCTACCTGCTGAATCTTTTTTGAGAAGTTCTTGTTGGATTTCTCTAGTGTCACTTCAAACCTATTGCAACCTACCAGAAAGATTTGAGAGAATATGTAAACAGAAGTTGCCTTTAAATTTATGACTGAATATATCCTACACTAAATAGATTACAAAGAATTATGAAAGCAAACTTGGCCACTTAACACTAGAAGAACGGCTCTTCTAACATATCTGTGCTATCTTTTACTTAATAGCTAAATGCATGACGTGGTCTTCTACATAGTCAGGGTGAAAAAGCAAATTACACTTCATGTACCCAGCCAAGGACCTCATCAACAGTTACATTTTCTCCTTGCTAGAATTTTAGATTACGACAACTATATTTAAGTATTTTCAAACCCAGAGATACAAAGACACCCATAAAGACTTTATCCCCACCAATCTAATATCAGCAATTTAAATTGCTGGGGAACACATCACTGCAAAGTAGACAAGAAACAAACACTACACCACAAGGGTTTAAAAGGAGTTTTAGGGATAAAGACTTACAGACACTTTCTGATGACATAACCTCTCCTGGCATTGATGCAAAAAAGGGGGAGAAATTTACCACATGAAACAAGACACTAGCAACTCAAAACTAGCATGTTCTGATTGGAACAGACAGCCTACATGTTTCAGAAAAAGTAAGCTGAATTCAGCCTCTAAAATCCAAGTAGCTACAAATGCACATCTTTCCAAGAGCTGATGAACTTAGGAACAGACGGTTTTCTTCTTTCCTGTCCCACACTACACTACATTACTGTGTTCTATAACATCAGTTTCTACATAATAGCAGATAATGTGAAATACAAATCAGTTTAGTGAAAATTGATTTTAACTAAACCGAAAATAGAATAGTTTTATTTGTGGCATCGCCAGAACAGACTATGAACACTTATGACTGTCAAAGAGGCAGGGAGAAGAGCCAGCACGTGACAGAGCTAGTTAGGAGGGATCCTTCTTCCCCATCCCTTGATGCTCTCAGACCCACTGAATAAAGCTGTTCTTTCACTAATCCAGTCCTTCATTAACAGAAGACAAACACCAAACCACTGGCAACGAGCATAATGCACTGTTTATGCACATTTGTGCACTGTATTCACAAAAAATACACTAACTATAAATTCAAACATAGAGAGATCTGATACAAAACGTACTTTAAAACAGAAAAAAAGGCTGATACTACTCGCTATCTTTCTTGAGCATCTGATAAATGGTATTTACATTTTCACCAAAGATGCCACACAAAAATTCATTAAACTCTATGTAGGAAAAAAATCAGCAATTAAACATACTTGTGGTAATATCACTACAACCTCTCAAATTACAGGAAATAAAAATAACGTAGTTTTGTGCCATTCTTAAAATTATCTTACCTATGTCTTTCTTGATCCTGTAAAGCAGAAGATGCCCTTGTTTGGTACCAACAAGGAGCCATTCCTCTACAAAGACAGGGGAGAAGAGTCTAATTAGTTTCAGCAAAGACTACCCTTCCCAGACAAGTTACGTTCATCAGAACACTTGGAAACTTGTTTCAAATGGCAAAGAGGACTTTCTGTGGCAACAACACAGGTCTCCACCATTTCTCTGGTGGAAGTGCTCAGAAGCAGCTTTCATTCTCAGGAGAGGATGGCCAAAGATCAAGCAGTGAAACAGTGAGCACAGCCCAGTCATCACACCCCACTTGCTTATACAAAGGCAAAAAAGCAAACCATTGCATCTTTTGTGCAATCAAGAGACACGACAAAACATTGTTCAGACATTATCTCCCAGACAGGAACAGTGCTACATAAGGGGAAGAACGGTCAGGAAGAGAAACAACAAGCTCTATGTAGGTTTGTTTGGGCCTTTTTTTTTTTTTTTAATAGACAATTTTTTTGTAAGAACTCTCTAAAATAGTCGGCTATGTCTGGCAGGACAGTGGCAGCTTTGCTTAAATGGCATGTGAATTGCTTGGACGATAAACAGTCATTTAAGATTTACAAGATAGAATCTTTTTATGTACAAACTCTGTGGCAGAGTTTCAGACTCCTCCTATTTACAGCACTTATAGTATGCAAAAAGCATATAATCTTTACTGGATCATGAAAAGTGACTGAAATTCTTCCTCCTTGCTGAAGATCATATAGGAAAGAAACATACACACATATTTCTTTCTACATCTAGCATTCTCTCCTTACCAAACATACCTGTATTAATAAAATCTTGTTTCCTGCAATATCTTTCTTCCACTATTTGGTAGCAAAGTTGCAGAGACAGAATTACGCCTCGTTACACAACCATACTGTCAAGAGGCCTGTGGGTTTAGGCTTTTTTCTACTTCAGCAAAATAAATGCTTTCAAAGAGATAAAAGATAAAAGCAACAACTCGGGAATAAACTTATCTTCACGTCTTCTCTACGTAACTCCAGCATAAACAACCCATGTTTAAACATGGCACTACTATTCAGGTTATAATTTTGCTCTTTAAACCGATTAAGAGGGTCACGATTCCACAGTGTCTGGAGCTCTTTTAATTACCAATTCTCTGCTATGGTAGCACATCTGATGGAAGCTTCTCAAGCCGTTTAAAAAGCCTTATCATTACGACAGCCGGTGCAACCACCCGACCGACATGTTTGACTCTCAAGTACGCCCAAAAATATAACCTACATTTATATACCACTAACACATGCAAACAGGCTCAAAGCCCAAGACCTGAACACACCACTGGCCTTCCAAGATAAAAT